AGGAAGAAGGTGGCGGTGATGGTGAGGGAATGACGGGAGAGGAAGAAGGTGGCGGTGATGGTGAGGATGGGCGTTTGGGCGTTAACGACAAAGTAACGGAGATGGGTGTGTGTAATGGAGGGTGTAACGGAGGAGGGTAAATGTAGCTTTATCCTTTATTTAAAGATATGAATTTTTTTAATTTTTAAATAAAATAATAAACTTTCAATTTTTTTATTTAAAATGATATAATTAAATTTATTAAAAAACTTTTTCCTTCTTTCCTATTCATTCCCTCAACCCAAACATAAAGATATCAACTTTAAATTTTTTCTATTTAAAAATTAGTTGACTGGTTAAAAAACTCTATGTCATATCAGCATCGCTATTCAACTAATCTTTAAGTAAAAAATATAAAATTAACATCTTTAAATAGAAAAAATTAAAAGTATATTGTTTTATTTAAAGGAATCAAGAAAAGTTGCATCTCAAAATAGAAAAAATAATAAATTTTGTATCTTTATCTGCACATTTTCTTGTTGTAAATCAAATATATCAGGTTTGATAAGAACAATCTTAGTTTCACAAATTTTTATCTCATGGTATCAAAAGACCTTCTAAACCTATTAAAACATCAAAAAACTAATTATTTAATATCACATTCTTTTCCTTTTTTATATATTCTATTTTATTTTATTGTCTGCTTCTAATAATAATATTTTTTATTCTTTGAAAACACAAATACATTGCAGCAATCGCACTTGGCCCTTGTGACCTAATGGCTAATGCCATTAAAAAAGTGCATATCCCTCTCCCCTGGACAGGTTTCAAACCCGTCCCATGATAAATAGTTCAAAAAAAAAAAAAAAAAACATTGCAGCAATCTGCAAAGTAGGTCGGACGATGCTAGTCTAAATATAAAATCTTGAGTCCTCTCTTCTTCCCATCTTTCTCGTCACTCAATTTTGTTCCCTTCTCTCACTTCATTATTCACATTGTGTTTACTGTTTTGACCTCATGGAAAAGCTCTAATAGTGTGTTAATTATTTTAGGGGCATTGTGGTCTTTTACCCTAAACTCAAGTTCCTAATTCCTTGCATCCCTTCTCCCATCTAAAATTTCCATACTGCTTAACTTCCCCCCTTCTTCACAGGAGATAGGATTGGTAATATGACTTTTTACTTCTTTTTTCTCTTTTTTGTCCAACTTTCCTCATTTGTACATGTATTTCAAAGAATATAGTTTTATGACATGGGATAGGTTTAAACTGTAGCTTACATTCAAAAGGGAATTTTGGGATGTGATTCAAAAATATAATTTTGAAACAACTCAATTTTAGAGAATGTTTGGTGAAGCTTATGAGTGCTTCAGTTTTTTAACATTATTCATATTCATAAATTTAAATTTTCCTCTTAACAATTTATATTTTTTAACCTTTTTTAATTTTAAAAAAATCTTAAA